TATTATATAATATATAATATATAATATATAATATATAATATATAATATATAATATATATTATATATATTATATATATATATATAATTGCGGTATCTCAAGAACGAAAGACTCGAAGAACCTTCACACAAATAGGGTAAAAGACCCAATTACCGTCACCTGAATAATAAACTCTGGCGTTAGTGAATTGTTTTCACTACTTATTTATCAAAAACATGTGTTTTTCTTCTTATCTGGTATCATTCGATGTCTCTGATATAAGAAACAAAATAAATACCGCCTCTCAAAATCTCTATTTTTATTTATAAATTTAACAATTAAAAAAGAACGATGCGAGAGCTATTTACTGTCACCCCTAAAATGAAAGAAATGAGACACGAATGTTGAGTGCTGGAGAGATTTCTTGTTATATTAATTGCACTTAAAATTCTACGTTAGATTGTTTTCGTGCATAACTTTTTAGGATTTATTTAATATTTTAAATAAAATAGTTTAGGGTGACAGCAATTGGACAGACGACAGAGTAATTGGGATCTTTTACCCTATGACTCTTATTCTTCACTTTCGTTTTTTTTTTTTTTTTTATACAAGTAAGCAGTTTTTTTCTCGTCGGACAAATACAACAAACTTCTACGTGATTGCAGATCGAGTACAGTCGAGATTCCACGTACATGTGACGATAATTACTCTTTAAAGAAGTACTTGAGAGCCATCAAGCGGGACGGTCAACCACTGCGATGTTACGAAAACTGTAAGCTACACGACGGTGAAGACAAGTTACCTTTTAAGGTAACCGTGGTGAGGCGCCTGACTTCGACGCATCTAAAAAACTGACGAGAATTCTGCCGATGCACAATTAGATGCAATTCTGCGTCACCGGTCTCAACGAGAGACGCTCCTTCCCCCCCCCCCCCCGATGACTCTCCGTCTCGATTTCTCGATTTCTCTGAGAACGATTTAAAATTGTTTAATTAACGTTTAATTAACGCTCTTGATGTGTACACGTGTGTGAAAATAAATAACAAACAATTTCTACCTAAGAAATTGAGGTTTGAGCTGCGAAATAATTACAAAAATTAGCGCGACAAGCGTCCGATGTGTGTACGCGCACTTCGGAATAAGATATTCAATACGCTATTGTGTCGCCAGCGACCTTCACCCGCGGTAGCTAAGTCAGACGAGAAAACTATATCTCTGTGCGGAGAATTGCAGTTTCCGTGTCTCACACACACTCGATTTTATGCAATCTCGAATGATGATCACGTCTCTCGTCGTTTTCCAGTCGCGTTTCAGTCGCGCGGAGTTTAGTCAATTTTCACACAAAATGGAACATTTTTCTTCAAGACTTGGTCGCCATCACGCAGACGACGCAACGCTTCAAATGAAAAATAAATTGCGATCTTCGATTTGCTCATTTTCAAATCTTTCGGAAGCGAACGTTGAGACCGCGCCGTTCTCGGTGGACTATTTTTTTTTGCGATGCTTTTCAACCGCTAAAAGATTCTATCGGTAAAGAACGAAACGTTTCAACGGGCAAAAGAAAACGTGAGACAACGACGGTTTCGCGAGACGTTTTTGCGTTCGATTGAAAAAACGCGAGTATCCAGTGATTTGTTTAACAACGTGGTTACTTTGCGGCGCAGATGCTGCAACCGGGAGATGATTTGTGCAGAAACAAATAAGTGTCGACGGTATAGAATGAAATTTGTTGGAGTTAGGCTCGATTTTTGGAAAGATCGAGCAATTGATTTAGTTTGCGCGTTACCGCCTAATTGGCTTCTGATAATCTTGTCTCGAGTGCGAAACAAATTCCGATATATAGCGGTTATTATTAATTAATTTAAAAAAAAACGCGTACACTTTCGTTTTCCAATCAATATTAAATTAATTAAATTAACTGTCGTATATGGTAATGCGCGAGACGAGATTTGGCAGATGCAGAAGTTTTCGAGTTTCAACAATTGAATCTCGCGCGAAAAACAATTTTGTTCCGTACATTTTCGAATTGTTGTCGCGCAAAACGATCGCTCCGTTTACACCATCTGCTCTGGCGTGCGAAAATAAAATTATTTACTTGCGACACTAACGAAACGTTGGCGAAACGCAGAGAAAATATACAGAAGAGTTCAATTGACGAGCAAATGGAAATATACAAAATTATGTTTGTTCTTGTAACACGCAAATGTGTAATATGTAGTTTTATGTATAGTTTGTAATTACTTTGTCACGTTTAATTGTACATTTATCAATTTTAGAGATAAGATTAACAATTTATTGTCGCAATATAATCAACGTCCGTTCAAGTACTTTTTGTTTGCAAGTTAGCCAACAAGTGTACACCGAAAAAATTGTATTCTTGTTTTGAGGAGAGATATCCCACTTACTTTGAGTATATTTTATACTAAAATAGGCGCCAAGAAGAGTTTCTTATTTTAAGAGGAAAATCCTCTAAATAGTAATATTGATAAGAATATAAAAAGCCTCTANAGAAAAACATATATATATATCTCACCATCGAAAAAGACTATATTCTTAAATTAAGAATATATTTTTAAATAAAGAATATATTCTTCATTTCAGAA